CACCAGTTGTGACGGGTTCTTGAGTTGTGGTCATACTATCCCGACCGCCGATCTCATCGCTACCGACTGGCGGCTGATCGACGGGCACTAACTGTTGGACGTGTGCGTCCAAGTCGTACAACAATTTAGTCGCACTGTTGATGGTCTCCGAGTAGACAATCGTCGGGTCGTCTTCCCCTTCTTCCGACTCTTTGATTACATTAATGGCGTCCTCACTGTTGATGGACTCAATCGGTACTTCAACGGGCGCCGCAACGGGCGCTTCATCGGCCACTTTAATGCCCACTTCAATCGGCGCTATAACAGGTGCTTCAGCCGATCGTACAGCCGGTTCAACGGGTGCCGCAATTGGTATCTCAACCGGTGCTATAACTGGCGCCTCAGCCGGTGCTACAATCGGTACCTCAACCGGTGCTATAACAGGGGTTTCAACCGGTGCTACGATCGGTACCTCAACCGGTGCTATAACAGGGGTTTCAACCGGTGCTACAATCGGTTCCTCAACCGGTGCCTCAGCCGGCGCTACAATTGGTATCTCAACCGGTGATATAACTGGGATTTCAACGGCTGGTATAACTGGTACGTCAACCGGTGCTACAATTGGTAATTCAACAGCCGGTGCCTCAGCGATGGGCACTTTGACGGGTACTTCAGCAGGAATTCCATCGGGGACTCCAACGGGGACTTCAACGGGTGATTCGGGGATCGATTCCGATATGGGATTAGAAAGACCTAAACAATGGAAAGAATATTTCGCTTGTGTTTTATTTCCGGACAGAAATAATCTTTCAATGAATTTTCACATACCCTTAGAAATGGTTAATAACAGAACAAATGTCACGAAAAACTTCATAATTTTTGGTCAAACTTTGCCGTCTTTTTAATGCTGTCGATGGCTGTCTGGTCGGCGGCGCCCAGTGTTTGCGCCGGACGACTACCAGTGCCGACGCCCGCAGCCGCCGACTGAATGGATGTCAACTGTGTTTGGATGCGGACAACATTGGATCGGATTCGGCGCACAGAGTTAAGCATTGGTCGCAACATTGCGCTCAGTATATACCGGCGCCGAGTGGTCAGCTCAGACACTGTGTCCTATGAGAGAGTAATGTCAACAACAGAAATGGGATTTGTTTTGGTGACAAATACCTGAATCCTCTTCTGAAGTGTGTCCAGTTGTGTGACGAGAGCGCCGACACTCTCTCCCTGTTTGCTAAGCGCTAACTCAAACTCACTGTTGACGGCGCTGTATATTTGGGCACCAGTTGTGACGGGTTCTTGAGTTGTGGTCATACTATCCCGACCGCCGATCTCATCGCTACCGACTGGCGGCTGATCGACGGGCACTAACTGTTGGACGTGTGCGTCCAAGTCGTACAACAATTTGGTCGCACTGTTGATGGTCTCCGAGTAGACGATCGTCGGGTCGTCTTCCCCTTCTTCCGACTCTTTGATTACATTAATGGCGTCCTCACTGTTGATGGACTCAATCGGGACTTCAACGGGCGCCGCAACGGGCGCTTCATCGGCCACTTTAATGCCCACTTCAATCGGTGCTATAACAGGTGCTTCAGCCGATCGTACAGCCGGTTCAATGGGTGCCGCAATTGGTATCTCAACCGGTGCTATAACTGGCGCCTCAGCCGGTGCTACAATCGGTACCTCAACCGGTGCTACAATCGGTACCTCAACCGGTGCTACAATCGGTACCTCAACCGGTGCTATAACAGGGGTTTCAACCGGTGCTACAATCGGTTCCTCAACCGGTGCTATAACCGGTGTCTCAGCCGGCGCTACAATTGGTATCTCAACCGGTGATATAACTGGGATTTCAACGGCTGGTATAACTGGTACGTCAACCGGTGCTACAATTGGTAATTCAACAGCCGGTGCCTCAACGATGGGCACTTTGACGGGCACTTCAGCAGGAATTCCATCGGGGACTCCAACGGGGACTTCAACGGGTGATTCGGGGATCGATTCCGATATGGGATTAGAAAGACCTGAACAATGGAAAGAATATTTTGCTTGTGTTTTATTTCCGGACAGAAATAATCTTTCAATGAATTTTCACATACCCTTAGAAATGGTTAATAACAGAACAAATGTCACGAAAAACTTCATAATTTTTGGTCAAACTTTGCCGTCTTTTTACGTTAATTAGAAAAACACAAATTAAATGTAAAATTTCTGCCCAAAATTGTGATACTTTGTCCCCAACTCTCAATCGACAGTTCACTGTCTTTGGTGTTACGCAAAAATATACCAAAAACTAAGATCAGCTCTGGTTTGCAGACTTATATAGACTCGGATGCACTCCCTTCACCTCTTGGGATGTCATGACCCCCAACCACAACAGCCATTCACTCACAAAATAATTTATTCCCCCATTAAAGACACCACAGTTAGGGATGGCTTTACAATATATTGAAAGTGAAAAACTTGGAGAGAGAGAGAGAGAGAGAGAGAGAGAATCGGGACGAACCGGAAAAACATGTAATCATAAGTCATAGTGAATGTGAAGAGCAGTTTCTGGTGGCGTTCAGTGGATGCGGTGGAAAACCATACATATATCGCAACAATCAATTCATTACCAGCAAAAAAATTCATGGATAAAAATGCGATTAATTTCTAATGTAATGTCTGTCAAGAATAACGATAAGTTTGTGGCAAAAAACTAATTAGTTGTCTGAATGGGAGAAGCAATACATGAATATTTATGGAATTGAATTCTGTATAAAAAACTTTCATTTATTTCTTATTCTTCTTTCATTTGCTTTTTCTTGTTTTTGTTAATTAAATATTTTTTTTCGGAGAAAGCATTGAACGACTGAATGAATCCGCGAGAGAGAGAGAGAGAGAGAGAGAGAGAGAGAATTTTGTTCTTCTCCCCCAATGTTTTAATTCAAATTCAATCACATCTGTAATGACCGATAAGGAAGAGGTCGAGAGCGAGTAAATCCGGTTTCAGTAAAGAAAGAATTTGTTGTGTTTCTTATTTTAAACGATAAAATAAAATAAACTGTATTTTTCTCTCACAAACCGATGTCCAGAATAAGTAATTTTTTGGGCAAAAATTTTTTGTTGCTTTTACTGTTGGGTTTGTTAACCTTTTTTTCTTCAATTGGCGACAGAAATAAATGCAATTTACGAACAAATTATTTGATTGCAACACAAAAACGCTCAAAAATTGTTGCCCTTATCGTTGGAAATCCCATTCAAATATCAAATAACTCTACCATTTATTTGGCGTTTGAAACAAGTTTTCTTTTGATGCAAAAACTCTTTGAATCCATTTTTCTCAGACATACCATCACTTTATGCTCTGTTGACTGCTTTCTGTCTATTAGATACCAAAATTAGCATTGAGTGCGAAAATATCATTTTAATCGCTCGCATAAAGCATCTCATAATTGATACCAATTATACCGTTCGGTGAGAGAATCACTTGAAATGACGTTACGATTGCATTGTAATTAGCATTTCATTAAATTCAATACATTTATAAAGCCATACAATTAATACTAACGGTTGCGGCGATTCAATGATACCAACAAAATACACGTTCAAGTGATGAGAATCGCAAAAAAGGTTTGTCCCAAGAATTCAAACAAATTTAAGGGTCAATAACATACAGAATATGACCAAAAATGCTCGTCTCTATTGGAGACAAACAAAACGGACAGAAATGGACAAAAAACAGACAATCAATCGAGAGATGAAAGAGTAAATTAAAAGTCAAATTTCAAACCAATTTTAAACTTTATTATGGAATGAATGTTCGGACAAAATGAACAAAAAAGGTAATTAATGTCTTATTTTCATATAATATAATTGTTTGTTAATTAGATATTAATTGTCAGAAATAATGAAAATACATAACTTATATATCGAGTGATACGGGAAAAGGGAGTCGACGACGAGGAGGAGGAATAAGTGGTGTTTTGTGGTTGTGGTGGCGGAGAGAGCGAGAGAGGGGGCGCACAGGTATGAACGCGAGTCCGTCCCCCACCGACAGCGCCCGCGCGTGTGTTACCACTCAAATGGCATTTAGTTGTTGTTGTTTTCAATCATTTGATAATAAATGTGTGTTTGAGTCCTGACTAGCGTTTAGTTCAAGAGATAATATATATAAACAAAGAGAACATCTATTTTATAGAGAGATAGAAAGAGAGTGAATGGGAGAGAGAAAGAGAGAGGTATGAGGTGTTGGGCCATCGGTTTTCACTCACTTTTATGGACAATAAACCTAACAAAAAATAAAATTTGCTTCAAAAAACTCTGTCAACACTTTTAACAACACAATCAGTGGTTATTGTCTTTTCGATTATATTTCACTGAAAAATTGCCGCAATTTTTGTATATTCTTCACAATACTTGTTGTGAATGCGTTTTGTTGTTGTTTTTTACTGTTTTGTTTGTTGACCTCTAAAAAAGTCCGCAACAATTGTACATTTATTCACGAGAGAGAGAAAGAGAGAGAGAGAGAGAGAGAGAGAATCAAAGAATAAACTTAATTTCTACACAAAAGAAGACATCGTTAGATCAGAAAGTGAGGGAAAATGAAAGAAAAACATAAATATAAACAATATTTGATTTGTATGTTTGGTTGGTATTCTGAAAATCATCGAAAACACTGATTCCCAGACATTATATTATCATAAGTTGTGATTTCATTGTCTCTTCTAATTCACTAAATCAAGAGCTCATCCGCTCGTATTCCTCGTCCGACACGCCCTCCGAAACGCGTATTCGCTTAAGTGTAAGACTACCGGCAGAGTCGGCGTCTTCGGGTTCGTCTATATGACTGCCGCCAGTGGTCACGACCGCAGCGCTCGTCACTGCCGTCACCACATCAGACGCCGGCCGCTTCTGAGGCATCTGTGTCGGCACGGATGACACTTTGTAGGCGTTGTTGGCCGCGTCGGCTCCGTATACGCGCGATATGACCGTCGAGTTCCCATTGCCGGCCGAATTGGACGGCGCCTGTACTATAACCGTGGGCTGAGATGTCGTCGACGATAACGAAGACTGAAGTATTATTGTGTTGTTGTCCACTGCTATCGCACGGGGGGCTGATGTTCGGGCAAAACTCAATTCTTGTTCTGTTAAAATCAAGAATATTCATCAAAACAAGTCATCACAGAATTAGTAATTAATTTGACAGCAATTTGAAGGCAAAACTCATTGAGAATGAAATCGCAAAACATTTTAATGACCGGAATCTTTGTCACTATAGTTGACACCATTGGTTGAGAGGGAGGAGGTGTTAGTGAGCGACTGATTGGCTGTTACTGAGCCGTTCATATCGGATGTGTTGCCGATTCCTGTCATTAAATGAGTTTTCGATTAAATTCTCAATGAGTGACAGAAGAGTAGGAGTAGTAGTAGTGGTAGTAATGAGTGTAATAGTCCTGCAGTGAGAGAGAAGTGGTCGATCGCATACCTGGAGAGCCGGGCGCCGATTTGCTGGTGAATTTGTATTCTATAGTAGTTGGCACAGTTAGGTAAGACGATGGCGGACCCATCGACGATATTATTTCGCTTTCTAGAGGTTCGGGTATAGGACTTGATTCTCGAGACATGTCTTCGGGAGTGGCCAAACCACTGGCCAGACCGCTGTGATTGGGTGAGGCGGGCGCCGAGCGTGAGGCCGAGCCGCCCAATGGGTTGCGGTAACAGGTCATCGGTCGCTGCCGTCGCCGCTTGAATGCCTGTTCTATGAGTTTGGGCTCCGACTGGGCGTCTATTCGCCAAAAGGATCCCTTTCCCGGCTCTTCTTGAGAACGCGGAACTTTCACGAAATACCGATTCAACGATAGGTTGTGTCGAATTGAGTTCTGCCGAAGAATCAACGCATTCAATGAGACAATCAAATCGATAGATGGGAGTGAGTGTTGCAGTCAATAGACACATACCTGCCATCCTTTGTCTGCTGTCCTATAATACGGATAATTCTTTGTTATATAGGAATAGATTCCGCTGAGTGTCAGCTGTTTCTCGGATGCACTCGAAATCGATTGAACAATGAGTTGAGCGTAAGAATAGGGAGGTTTGGAGTCGTCCACCTCTCCGGGACTGTTGGCCGTCGACTCGTGTCCGCCCGACTGCGGCACCAAATAGTAATCGTTACTATTGTTAGACACGGGCGGCGTGTGTTCCAAACTGGGCATTAACTTAATGCCCGACGGGTTGTGCGCTACCATTCGGTGCTCGTCTGTAGCAACAGCTGCCGCCGCGTACGCCACCATCATCTGCATGTGCTCGTTGGAGGTGTTCCGGTGCCGAGAGTGGCCGCCGCGAGGGCTAGCGGGACATGAATTGGCGGCACTGGATGGGAGTCGTTGGGAACTTACAATTAGTCAACAGATCTATTAGATCAGTGATGGACAGCGAAGTATACCTTATTGTTCCAGCGGGTGATGGAATAGGACTGGCAAAGTCCGGGTCCGTCGAGTCGGGAATGTTGACCTTCAGCGGTGCCATCGATTGGCCTTTGATTGACTCGCGACCGGCGCTCGCACTCGAATCCTCGACCAATGATTGGAAGACTAATTTGATGTTTGTTGAGGGAAACCGAAGGATACAACTGTCAAAGCAAATACATTAACACACATTAGATGTCATAATCAACAGACATATCATTAAATCAATTCTACAATATATTCATAAAAACAAAATATCCAGAATTCCTACCAAAAAACTTTCAAACCAAAGCATTATATCATTTAAACAAAAATACATTAATTAAAACAAGAAAAATTAATTATTATAAGACATGGTCGTAAGAGTTAAGCAATAAGGTAATAAAAAAATAAAAAAGTATATACAGTATAAGTTTCGCAAACAATTTTAGCTTCAAATGAATGGTAAAGTATAGCAAACTATATGCTAATGAAATGCACACACAATTCAAGGGCTCGTGAAGTTGAGGAACAGCCAAAACAAGTACAGTATTATACAGTGTGTAGTGAAACCTATGTGTTTGTCTGGCATTGACTTTAAACGCTATAATAAAACTAACGTTAAATTCATTCAAAACCCAACACAACAACTACTGGTATACTAAACATAACCATAACATTGAACTGAAACAACGCTAACGTTTAAAAGCCAAACACATTTATTTTTGTTAAATATTTTTGAGTCTCTATTAATACAAATTTTTGGGGAATTTTAGGAATCATTTCTAATGTCTAATTGAACGCCAATTGATGGCATTTAACGGTATATTTTACGCTCAAAAACAGTGGCGATTCATGCAATGAATGCGTGCAAAAACAGCCGTACAATCATTACATTTGTTATTTTTCCTGATAATCACTGAATGTATGTATCTATTAGTAGTTTAGTGTAACAACAAATAGATATTCACTATAGATATAGTGAACGCCAGATTGAGAAAAAGCCATAGAAAAAACATTGCTTTTACTCATTGCTTATAAACACTATATTTTATGAATCAATTATTTATAGCTATTATAAGACTTAAGAAACGACTCGTCAAATAAACTGTGCATTCATTTCATTAGGAAATGTTTTGAAAGCATTTCTGTGTTTATCTATTTTGTAATACAAGGAGAGAGAGAGAGAGAGAGAGAGAGAGAGAGACTGCGAGTGAATTAATAAATGGAAACAACAAATCGTTTTTTATCGCATTTTCCGTCATTTCAGACGTCATTAAAAGTAATAATAATAATAAGATTCGCATTGAATGGAGAGAAGAGAAGACAGAAGTAATGCTTTGAAAAGAAAACTTTTATTTTTGTTGTAAACAAATCTAATCATCAAAACAGTAAACTTGACTTAAATGTGATCTCAAATTGTATTTTACTCTCACATCTCATGTGAATATCAATGTAAACATTTGTTCACCAATTCATTACATACTAACTAATAATGTGTGATATTTCCTAATATCATATCAATTACTCTTTATATACTCTCTATAACTATATATTAATCGTTACAATAATACAGTATATAGAAAATCAAATTAAAAATCAATTAATTAAAAAAAATTCCAAATCTGTTATTAAACAAAAATGTCATTTAAGTCATACACAAAAGTGATATAAATATGCATTCAATGTGTTATTTATAAACAACAATTACAATGCATTTCCAAACCCTAACATCACATCATATTTTTTACATAAAAACACAACAAAAATACATTTGACAGAAGAGGGAGAGAATTGGCCAATCGCTGGCTAAACACACACCAGAGAGAGAGAGAGAGAGAGAGAGAGAGAGAGAGAGAGAGAGAGNAGTTAGTATGTAATGAATTGGTGAACAAATGTTTACATTGATATTCACATGAGATGTGAGAGAGAGAGAGAGAAGGGGGGTTACGGGGGAGAGGATAAAGGGTTTCAGTGTTGTGTTGTCGGGAGGGAGAAGAGGGAAAACGAGAGACAGACCGAGAGTTATGTCTAAATGTTTACAATACAATAGGTATGAGTGGTTTATAAGACATAAAAATATGCTTCAAATAAACACAGAGACAGTGGAGTAGAGTAGGGCTCAGGTATGCAATGGTGTGCGAGAGTGAGAGAGAGAGAGACACCGAGAGAGGTGGTTAAACAAGAGAGCGGGTGAGAGAGACTGCGAGAGAGCGGTATAACTACTTGATAATGAGGTCACGATATGATCGGGTTTTCAATGAAAACAACATTTAATAAATAGAAAGGCATTGAAGGCAAACAACAGTAAATAAATGCTTAGTTTTGTGGCCGTTATTGTCATTACAGACAACTCTCTCCACACTTTTATTTTACACAATAAATTCAATTATAATTTATTTTCAAACAATGCATTCAAAACACACACACGAGTTGTTTCGCTGCAGATATTAATGTTATATTTCTATGGATTGGAAAAAATAAAATAAAAGATTTGTTTTTTAATAGAAATAACTTCGAGAGAAAAGACAACAAAAACTGAACCGAAATTACTATTGAATACTAAATACAAAACTAAACAAAATATAAAAGTGATTATTGAATGAAAATATCCATAAATTAATAGCTAATGAAAAGTAATAGTTGTTGTGAAACAACAAAAACAAATGAATATTAAATTATTTACAATTGATATGAATGTATAGGAAATACAGAGACAACAAACACATGTCTGACAACACAAACACATCAATAATAATAACAATAATACAAATAATAATCAGTCGAAGAAGTGGTAAACACACAGACAATTGGGAACAGATAAACATTGGGATGGGTTAGTGGTGGGGGACAGGGGGTAGACATTGGATCAAATGGATGGACACCAGACAAAGTGAGCGAAGGTTATAATGGCGAGAGAGTGGGGGACAGAGGAGAGGGGGAGAGAGAGAGACAAGAGTTTGAGAGACAATAGACTCACGTCTTTGGGAGCTGAAGATGTGGAGCGCCTTTGCGTTGAAAGACGCCGTCAACGAAGACACCATTCTTGCCGTTGCAGATCATATAGAAGTGATGCGAGTCGTAATGGATCTCAATATGGCGGCGAGAGATGAAGGAGGAGTGGCCCATATTCACGTCCACCTGACCCCTGGAACTGTTGCGGCCGATCACTATGCGGTTCTGGCGGATCATGAACTCGAACTCCCGGGTCTCGAGCCGCGCGATGGGAGCCGTCTCTGCGTTCGGCGCCCACTGTATGCTCGACGGCGAGGCCGGCGCCGACTTAAGCGCCAGTAGAGCCCACGCGTCGCTATCGGACGCCCGGCTGAACGTTGCCATCGGCTTCGGAGGTACAGCTCTGCCTCTCGGGTGATGAATAGTGGTTGCGATGGATGTAATGGTCACTGGATTGACGGCTTGGCCTGCGATGTGGTGATGAGGTGTTTGTGGTGTTGTTGTGTATATACGGTATGAGTGGCTGTTGTGTTGTTATTGTAAACAAACACGCGTTCAAAATGGCTGTCCGTCTCAGCACTCGCTTCAACACAGCCTATGCTTTGCCACTGCTTTCACTCCACAACACAACACACACTCTGTGCACACTATTAGACACACTGTTAGACTGTATACAGTGTACGACAACACACTGTATTCATAGCACGGCATTCACTGTACGGTGGAGTACAGCGTGTGTGACATGTATTGGCGTTTCAAGCATTCTGTTTGGTCTGTTTGGCTGTGCGTTAGTGTAGAGGCACTACAGAGGCTGTAGTAGTGTTAGTAGTGTTGCGTTACACTGAGTGGCAGTGAAGCCAACCATTCACTCCATGCACTGCGAGTGTTGTGGTATTAATAGAGACCACGAATAGAGAGGATCGCTGTACTGCCCGCCCATCACAGCGCCAATACATTAGTACAGCGTATTGTCATAAAGTAGTCACTACTGACGACAGTTAGTGTATCAGTAGTTTAGTAGAGGAGAGAGAGAGAGAGAGAGAGAGAGAAAGGGGAGAGAAAGAGAGGGCTATTATTGGTATACACAACAAAACAGACACTGTATTGAGTGTAAGTGTAGTGCAGTATTAGTACAGCATTGCCAGTGCTATCGGTGCCAACTTTTAGCCACTATTGTCAATACTTTTCCTCTATTTTGTAACATAACTACTAATGATATGGTAAACACATGCCTGTGCTCTGCAGTGCTGTGCGCATCGTTGCCCCCCTTTGCCCCCTCCCTCTCTACCCATCACTTTCACTCCTCATCTCTAGATGTGATCCCAAATTCATTAATAATATTTAGTGAAAACATAAAACATAGCAAACATACAGATTATATGCGAGGGTTTCCTAAACACAGAGTTTGACAAACACTTGATGTGATGTTATATGAATGCATACAATCATTGCATTCAAACTTATTGACAGAGTTTACAGAATATGTGTAGAGAATATACCAGAATTAGTGCACAGCATATGACGGCTGCAGTTATTATAATCAATTCTGTGGCTAACGATTATGCCATGAATTAATGCTACTTATTGACCATTTTATTGGCCGATAATCGTTAATCTGATGGATATATTCATTAAATGTTAACGTTTAGTATGCAGTTGTCATAGGATTGTGTGATTTAATGAGTGCGAGGGTTGGGATTTTGCACACAATTTGCTGGCATATATTTGATACCAGTTATTAACTGTTATTTAGTACTTATTTAGTCGTTAGTATTATATTTAAATCCTATGTAAATATTATTAGTGTTTATAAATAAAACTTTTTGTCTAAAAAAAGTTCCTAAACTTTGCATTTAGAAGGAAGTAATCAATAATAATAATAATTAAAGTCTATTATTAATATTACAATTACATTGTTAGGCGCGCATAACATCCAGGGTCTAATAGACTTTGCTATTTAATCTATATAATTGTTGTTGTGGTTTATAATATTGATAAAAAGTAATAGATTAATTTGTATATTACAGTATATCCTTGTACAACTATAATATTAATATTTATTATTTACTTTTTGCGATTCTTATCAATGTTTATAACGAAAATAATTTTTCCAATTCAATATTTTTGACACCAATTTCACTGTTGAGTTAGCGATTGTGTTGAATATATAGTAATTAAAAATACTAATTAATTATTAATAATATTTACATAATATTCTCGTACGTTATTCAACCAATTCATTGAGCGTTTTCATCAGATTTACATTTTATTATACATTAAATATTAATAATTAGCGTTAATTTAATCATTCGAAAGGAATCCATTCGCATGAATGGCTAAACAATGCATACCTTTCATCGGGACTTGTATTATGTATTAATTATTCAATATTTTGATTATTTTTAGACTAACGCACAGAAAAACATTCATAAATTTACACACAATTATCATATAATTTATGAGACAAACAAATATAGCCATAAAATCGCTGTCGAGGCGCCCATAAGAACCACAAAATACCGGTGTTTACAGCATTTGCTAATGACATTCACATCAAACATAAAAAATAATACAAAACAAAATACAAAAGCAATACAAAAAACAATTTATTAAAAACAACTTCTTTTAATTGTCACCAAAAAAACTTTTTTTTTGTTTAGTTTCTATACAAAGAGTTATACAGTATTTATCAACAGTTTGTTATCATATCATTGCTAATCATATATCAATACAAATCAACTAATCATTTGTTATAAAGTTTTGGCAGTTGTTCCGTGTGATGGTTGTGGTGTCCGATCGGACTGTTGGGGCTGTTATTCGACTTAATGATCGCTCTCATCGACGGTATCGACTGTTTGTTAGTTAAGTAATCGTTTTGAAATCTTTGGTGACTAGAGTTGCCGTCGACGGCGACCGACATCTCGTCAAACGAAGCGCTCGTTTTGTTGACTAAATCTCTGTCTCTATCGTTGGAATGCATTTTACGCATCACTGATGTCGGCGTGAAGTGTCCGGCAGTGGCCGACTGGACGACACCACCACCTCTGGCGCCGATCGGCGGAGTATTGGTTCGAATGTGCGGATCATTCATTTGTTGTGCCTTAAGAATCGCATCCAATTGCTGCTGACGCTGCTGTTGAAGGTATTTGTTCTGCATTTGCTGTGCTTCCAGTTGTTGCTGATGTTGTTGTTGTTGGCGGTAATGGTTGTTATGGATCTGTTGTTGCTCTTGTTGTTGTTGCTGCTGCTGTTGTTGTGCCCGAAGAGTCTGTTCCATCTGCTGACGTTTGGCGATGGCTTCGCGTATCAACTGTTGTGTGTTGTCATAGACCTCCCGATTCGACGGAATGGCATTCATATTGGCGTTGGGCGGCGACCAGTCGTGGGTTTGCATTAGATCCCGACCGCCACCGCCGCCGGGCATCGCAGAGTTGGGCTGAGTGTTCATTGAGTACATCACAGTTGGCGGTACACCAGCCCTGCCATTGCGGTGACCCATAATGGCCTCGTTTTGTGCTCGAATGCGCTGAACATCTTCCGCGGTTTGTGCCCTCCGGTCCATCATTTGCATGGCTTCGTGTCTCTCTTGCATTGTCAACAGATCCATAATACTCGGCGCGTTTCCTACAGGTTGACAGCTTTGGGGTATTACTATGTTTTGATTGTGGGTCTGAAGGATGGAGGCGTCGCCGCCTTTCATCGAATGATCCATTCGTTGAGTTGACGACCGTTTGTTCAACTCATGCAACAATTTATCAAAAGCCTGCCTATCGTTAGCCGGGCCTTCATTAACGGGCGCTCTGACCGGCATTTGTTTGAGATTACCTTCGAGTTCCGCCAGATTAACAGCTTTTGATGGATCCAAAACGGGATGTCCGCCGCCGGACCCGAAGTGGCCCGCGTTGGGCGGCATTCGCTGCGCTGACGGCGCAGACATAAGCATTTCAATGATATTGCGATTGCGATCGTTGGCGACCGGCGGCGAGGAAAAGGCATTCGGTGTCTGATTAGTCACAGGTCTGGCCATTTGTGGAGTGTGTGACACGGGATTCGACGGCTTCATGGCATTGGTCGCCGGCCGCGACATCGGATCAAACTTCTGATTATGAGGATTGGCTGCCATGTGATGAGTGGGTGATTGAGATGAGCCCATAAGCATATCAATGATATTACGATTGGGTGAATGATATGAATTCGGTGAATGATCAGTAGTACCCGTCTGTCTGGCCATCGGTGGCATCATTTTGCTCTCCATCTGGTGCTGAGTGGGGACAGCGTTGGCGGGCATATCGTTATACATCTTCTGATTATTGGGCGCCTCTTTAGTGACCCATCGGTCGAAACGACTTTTGCCTTTACTCTCGACGGGCTCCGCGTTGTCCACAGAATTTGAGATTCCTTTCGGTTCTGAGTTCTGGCCGTTTTTGAACCAGTCGTCCATTTTGAACATCGCGTTCACATCAAACTCGTCGCTCGCGGTCTGCGGTTCACTCTTCGGCGCGTCAGTCACTCCGACGGAAGACGGTTTGGGGGGAGACGATGACTGCATCGACGGCCGTGCG